TCATGAGGGTATGCTCGATTCTGGCCACAGAGGGAGCTGATGCTTCACTGTCCACTTATGACACCGAGTCCTTGATGGAGTACTTCCTCGTTCTTACATACGCTGCTGGAAGGTTTTATGGTGTCATAAATTAGTTAAATTAGCCTCCCCGCATAAAGCGGTATCTAAATTTCCTACTTGACAGAGGCAACTGTCTTTTGGCCTGCATAGGTCAACAACAAGCTAGATTATTAAAGGTTGGGAGCTCACTCCAACCCGGGCTGGTTTCGAACTCATGACCTCCCGATCAGTAGTGATTTAATGCAGCTGGCTACTAACTAGCTGCGTCACAGCCTGGGATATACTGCAGACATATAACAGTCAAATTGCAGGTGGCTCATCTGCATCTATGACTTGATCCACACTGCCATATAATGCAATATCAGACTGCAGATTAGCTGCATTGAACTGGATTATATGGCAGTGTAAATTTATATAATCCAGTTCAATACATTTAATCTCGATTGTGAAACTGCATTATATGGAAGTGTAGATCCAGCATATGAGTGTGGCCAACTTCATGGGAGAAGTACATGGAAGAGGTCAACAATTTCAGGGTTAACTACATACTTCATATCCAAGCGTGCTGCTAGCTTTATTCAGGAAATGTTGGTCTTTCTGGGCAAATTATTTAGTTACATAATTTTATTTAAATCCCATTTTCCTCATAGTATGCGTTCTTACATATATGTTTTTATTATAGCATTTTAATTGCATTTCAAAGACATAGGTGTAATAATTTATATCAGTATACAAAGGAATCTTATATTTCCTTTAAGATTAGAATAATAGAATCATAGAGTTGGAAGAAACCTCATGTGCTCTCAAGAGAACTATCTGTCTCCTGCCATATTTGAAGTGAACTTCATAGAATCATAGTCAGAAGAGAACTCGTGGGCCATCCAGTCCAACCCCCTGCCAAGAAGCAGGAAAATTGCATTCAAAGCACCCCTGACAGATGGTCATCCAGACTCTGTTTCAAAGCCTCCAAAGGAACCTCCACCACACTCCAGGGCAGAGAGTTCCACTGCTGAACAACTCTCAGAAACATGAAGTTCTTCCTCATGTTCAGGTGGAATCTCCTTTCCTGTACTTTGAAGTAATTGTTCTATGCCCTAGTCTCCAGGGCAGCAGAAAATAAGCCTGCTCTCTCCTCCCTATGACTTCCCCTCACATCTTGATACATGGCCCTTGTCCTGTCTCCTCTCAGCCTTCTCTTCGGCAGGCTAAACATGCCCAGCTCTTTAAGCTGCTCTTCATAGGGCAAAGTAAAAGAAAGGCATTTGTAGCAGAAGCTTTCATAAATCATAAAGTCTATTTTACCTGATGCTGTTTATAGTTTTTTATTCTCAAACAATACAAATTTAAGATATACAGTACATGTTTAGGTAAAGGAGAGTGCAACGGGTTGCAGTTCTTCTTTCATTTAGAATGTATCAACAGCCCCCAGTGGTGCAGTGGGTTAAACCCCTGTGCCAGCAGGACTGAAGACCGACAGGTCGCAGGTCCGAATCCAGGGAGAGCGCGGATGAGCTCCCTCTATCAGCTCCAGCTCCTCATACAGGGACATGAGAGAAGCCTCCCACAAGGATGGTAAAACATCAAAAAACATCTGGGCATCCCTTAGGCAACGTCCTTGCAAACGGCCAATTCTCTCACACCAGAAGCGACTTGCAGTTTCTCAAGTCACTCCTGACATGACAAAAAAAGATTATGTTGATATTAAAGCTTTTAAACTTTATAAATATGCCAAAAAGTAAAATGTTATGTGCTATGAATAAAACAACGTTTGTTTCCAAAGAGTAAAATATTTTGCTTTGATATATGTATTACATATATTGATTTTGATAGGTGGGCCCTTGCCTGTTACAATTACATGATGCTTGTTTTCCAAAATCATCTCCCATGGATTCAGTATTTTTAGAAATATTAACATCTCAGGTAAAGACAAACACGTGTTTGAATATTCCAAAGCATGGATACACTGCATTCTTGGATTACAACTTCCACAATCCCTTCAAAGCCACAGCTCCAAGAAATGAATAATAATGGAGAACAGGCTTGTCCAACCTGCAGTCCAGAGGCCATATACAACCCAGGACACCTATGAATGTGACCCAACACAAAATCATAAACTTACTTAATGGCCCTTGAGTGCTCTAGCTGGAGGTCAGCTGTGACTAGCAGTGCTGTAGAATTTGAAGAAGCACGAATGGAGGGCAAAAGAGAGAAACGTGCCAAGAGGAAGGTGCGACAAGCCAACCCCGACCGGGACCGCCTTCCACCTGGAAACCGATGCCCTCACTGTGGGAGAACATGTAGGTCAAGAATAGGGCTTCACAGTCACCTATGTACCCACCACCAGGACACCGAACTTGGAGGATAATCTTACTTGGACAACGAGAGATCACCTAAGTAAGTAAGTAAAACAGTACAAGATTGTGTGGCTCTTGGGCATAAACTTTGTAGACGACAACGGAATGGAACTGAATAATCAGAGTGTGTTACATCTACAAATACCGGAGTATTATCCATAATTTGCATAATAATTGCAAAGGTATACCCGAAGGTCTGCTCGACAATTTTAAAAGACCCTTCAAATGAAGTGGCACATACATAAGATTATTATGTGAGGACTTCTTTTGCTTATCTATGGTGGCAGATATCACAAAAGCGTTGCTCAGCCGTTTGTTTGTGTGTTTTATGTGTGGCCCAAAACAATTTTTCTTCTTTCAATGCGGCTCAGGGAAAGCAAAATATTGGACATCCTTGGTCTAGAATTCTTCACCTAACATATTTTTCATGCTAGGTCATGAAGAATAGTCTAGTGATGAATAATCTAGAATTCTTCACATGAAGACTAGTCTAGAATTCCTCACCTAGGATCTAGTTTTCTAGTAAAAAATATTTGTTTTATTGGGTAGGAAAGTCAGGGTTCAATTATGCTCAACCCACAATCCAAAGTTGTATATTGGGACCACTATTAAAACTAGGGCAGGAAGAATATTTGGAACTGGCTATTTATATACAAAGATATGTGCATACAGAAAATTAATCAGAGCATCAGAACAGCAATTTGGGCTCTGCAATTATCAGCTCTCTAAACTCTAGAGAGGGATGTTTTCAATATCACTAGGACTATTCCACAATCAGCAAGCAGGGATAGAGGCCCGAGAAGCTGGAGTGGGAAATACAGTTTGAAATCTGCTTCACTGACTAGACTGAATCAGCAATCAAAAAGAGAATTACATCCCCAATGCATTCTTCCTCCACAGAGACATTTCTCTTTGGAGAGAGGAAAAAGATTTTGTGTAGGCACGCATCAGCGAAATGGCATTTAGGAGCAAATCAAAAGCGATGATTGACTGATCTATGCCTTAAGCCAAATTCTGGAATGAGACTCTCTGTTTCCAGGGAGTGTGGCTGGGTGAGAAATAGAAGGAGAACCAAAGGAAATGGAGCAAGAATATTTCTTTATTTAATTCGTGTGAGAGCACGCAGCAGCCCTGAAATAAATTCGTGCCGCTGCTGCATACGTTATAATGTAAAGCATGACACAATTTCAGACAGTGAAGTCCTTCCAGGGTTTAATAGGACTTTACATTTGTATATTAATAATCGCCACAAAGAATGATGAAATAATTAGTCAGTGGAAAGGATGTCACATTTATTTGATATGCTTCTTGCAG